ATGTTTGTGTAGAAAATATGCAGCAGGAGGAGTGTGTCGATCCACAGCACGGTTAGATGGAAAAGTTGCCTTGATCACAGGAGCAAACTCAGGAATCGGGAAGGAAACGGCTTTGGATTTGGCCTCTCGGGGTCTGACTCTTCGACGTCTTTATTATATACCTTACATCTTTAAAAATGCCTAATGAAACTATTTGAATAATTCTGTTTAAATACACATTAACACTTCAGTTCTGTTTGCTGACAGGTGCACGTGTGATTCTGGCGTGTCGTGATGTAGAGAAGGGCGAAGGGGCAGCGACAGAGATCCGTACACGAGTGGGTGGAGCTAAAGTGGAGGTGAGGGAGCTGGACCTGGCCGACACCTGCTCCATCCGAGCCTTCGCTCAGAGATTCCTGCGAGGTATTGCCTTATGATAGCCAATGCAATGCAACAACCAAGATACAGAAGTCCCAGATATGTGAGTTTTGTTTCTTCATTCAGAGGTTGATCACCTGCACATACTGGTCAATAATGCCGGAATCATGATGTGTCCTTATATGAAGACAGTCGATGGCTTTGAGATGCATATTGGGGTCAATCATCAGGGTAAGTGCGACTAATACTTGTATTTATATTAATATACATGTTTGCAAACCTGAATTTTTTCACAAGCAGGTGCTTTTCTTACTGTAAAAAAAAAAAGCACAGGCCTGTCAGGAATGATTTCAGGACACATCATAGTAATATCTCTGTTAGTTAATTGGCACATTTTATGCATGGTATTAAGAAAATCAGGAGATATGATAAAAACAAAGATTTATATCTCAGCGTCAATAGCCTCGCGGGCAGTGTGCTGACATATAGCGCTGTTGCGCTTCGGGCGTCCCAAGTTCGAGTCCCATCCCCCCTCTCTCTTTCACTTTGCATCTTGTCTAAAATACTGTCATGTCCTAATACAGGCAAAACCACCATAAAAAAGTAAATCTTAAAAAAAGGTTTACATATTTTCTGTACATTATCGTTTTACTCATGTCTTAACCTAAAATAGATGTTATACAGTGTTGTTACTGTAAAAACTAAAATGATTAAGAAACTAAATTGTTTTTGTTTATTGAAATAAAGATGAAATTAGATTACACTTGAGTACACTTGGAGATTACTTGCGTTTTACGCATGGCATAATTAACATGTCAGGAGAAATAATAAGTTTAGAAGTTAAACAATTTCCATTGTTAATGTTAACTAAAACAATTAAAAATGTAAAACATTTTGTTGTATGAAATAAAATATAAATATTAATGAAAAACTTGCATTGGCAGCAAACTGAAATAAAATTATTTTAAGATTAATTACTGAAACTAAAGCTGAAATAAAAATAAAGCTTATTAGAAATATATATATATATATATATATATATATATATATATATAAAAGATCAAAACTGAAAATGTAAAAATAAAGTTTAATTCAAAATACTAATTTAGTGCATAAATATACTACAATAACAAAGAAGTTTTGACAACTCACTTCTGCACTTTTCATTCAGGCCACTTTCTGCTCACATACCTCCTCATTGGTCTGCTAAAGCGTAGTGCTCCATCACGAATCGTGGTTGTTTCTTCACTGGCACATAATTTCGGCTGGATTCGATTCCATGACCTGCACAGTCAGGGCAGCTACAACAGCGGCCTTGCCTACTGCCAGAGCAAGCTGGCTAACGTGCTTTTCACACGCGAGCTAGCTCGCAGGCTCCACGGTGAGTACTGCTGTACATCAAACAAGAATCTAAAACGAAAAGTGGGATCCCGCCTTACAGAAGATGTCTGTTTGACTTGTATTGCATCAGGGTCAAACGTGACAGTGAACTCCGTGCACCCGGGAACGGTGAGGTCAGAGCTGATGCGTCACTCTACTGCGATGTCGCTGCTGTTTGCCGTCTTCCCCATGTTCCTGAAGACCCCGAAGGAAGGAGCTCAGACGTCTGTCTACTGCGCCGTCGCTGAGGAGCTCCAGGCAATCTCAGGCAAACATTTCAGGTGCAGCACACTTTAGAATGGGTTACAGTTTAAAGGGATAGTTCACCCAAAAATTTAAATTCTGTCATTAATTACTCACCCTCATGTTGTTCCAAACCGTAAGACCTTCGTTCATCTTCAGAACACAAATTAAGATATTTTTGATGAAATCCGAGAGCTTTCTGACCCTCCCATAGACAGCAACGCAACTGAAATGTTCCCAGGCCCAGAAACGTAGCAAGATCGGTAAAATAGTCCATGTGACATCAGTGGTTCAACCGTAATTTTACAAACCTACAAGAATACTTTTTGTGCGCAAAAATAACGACTTTATTCAACAATTCTACTCCTCCTTATCCCGTCTAACCCATTTTGGAGAGTATCAGGACAATGCGCTTGCTTCCGCTTTATGTAAACGCTGGCCTTGTTTACATTCAGAGGAGAGCATGCATGTGTCATAATAATCTGCTTTGATTAACAATGACATCTACTGTCTGGACAAAAAAAACACAGACATTTTATCAAAGTATCTTCTTAATGTTGCACAGTTTCATACAAGTTTGGAACAACATGAGGATGAGAAAATTACGACAATTTTCATTTTGGGGTGAACGTGAATACATTCACTATATTCCAAGTCTTCATATAATAGCTTTGTATGTTAAAACCGATTAAAAATCATCCATAGTTTCTTAGGTACTGGCATGATATTAAACCTCCCTCTCTGTCTCTCCCACACAGTGATTGTGCCCCTGCTTTTGTGGCCCCTCAGGGACGTAATGAGGAGACGGCACGGACTCTGTGGGATGTAAGCTGTGAATTACTAGGGATTGAGTGGGACTGAAACATTCATTTGACCTGCTTTTTTTCTTTTCAGTTTTTTTTCCCATCTTTCCACATTTTCAGTAATTAGATTTCTATTGTCTTTCTTGGTTTTGTTTAAAGGGTCATATGAGGCGATTTCAATTTTTCCTTTCTCTTGGTGCATAAAGATCTGTAAAGTTGCAAAGACTAAAGTCTCAAATCTAAAGAGATATTCTTTATAAAAGTTAAGTCAACCACGCCTACCTAAAACGGCTCGTTCTAACACGCCCCCACATATCTACGTCACAATGTGGGAAGATTTGCATAACGCCGCCCAAATGTTCACGCAAAGAAAGAAGGCGTAACTTTTATTCTCGCTGTAGTATTGTTGCTGCCGCCATGTCGTGAAGACGCTGTGTGTTTCGTTGTGAAAGCAAAACTACTTTGTTTGGTCTTCCAAAAGAGGACGATATCTGCTTCGTCATGCCTAGAGCTGATCCGTGCTGGTCGCTGAGGAAATACATCAACTTCGTGCTGTGGATCTCCGAATTGGCTTTCACCGTGGACGAAGCGGAGTCCAGCCCGGGGTCGTCACATGTGGTTGCCGCAAGCCCGCCGGCTGCCGCTCACTCTAGGCGTCAGTGTGTGACTCTGTGTTTCGTTGTGAAAGCAAAACTACTTTGTTTGGTCTTCCAAAAGAGGACACGACTAGAAATCAGTGGTTAAGCTGTTCCAGAACAGTTCAACCCAAATATTCAGATGTGTGCAGCACATTTTATGGAGGACTGTTTCCTGATGCTGGGAGAGTAGACTACAATGCCGGCTGTTCTGACTCACAGACTGTAAGTACGTTTTTTATAGTTAAAGAATTTACCACTAACGATTCAAACGCGAGTTTTGGGCAGTGTAAAGTAGCGCTTGTTGTTTGTCATTTCTCCGATCACAAATACAGGCATGGTTTTATGTTTACGTGGCGCAATGCAATGTGTAAAAAGACAGTATAAGTCATTATAATCCGCAATTATGTCCCCACTGGATGCAACAAATGCCTAGTTTATAATGGGTTTTAATGTTTGTCTCTTCACTCCGGCTGGACAGGCCATCACAGTATGGTAGGGGCGTAACATTTCCGTCACGTGCTTGAGGTATTCAACCAATCACAACGCACTGGATAGCTGGCCAATCAGAGCACACCTCGCTTTTCAGACCGAGCTTTGTAAAAATTGACGCATTTCAGAAAGGCGGGGCATAGAGGAGAAACATTAATGTACAGTATGTGGAAAATGTGTTTTTTGAACCTTAAACCGGATAAACACATTTCATTACACCAAATACACAAAATAATGTTCTTTTTAGCAACATCATATGACCCCTTTAATACAATTGTGTACATTTTCTCCAATCCATGCTAGCACAACCCACCTTGTTCTTTCTGCCAGTTTTCTTCTATCATGACCTTGTGACATGCAAGTATGAGTTTCTTTGACTCTAGAACAGATCTGTGAAGAATTTGAAATTCACTGTTTTATTCTGTTTGTATGTTGAATGCTGCTTTAACTCCCATCTCAGTATTGTCACACAAAGCTGCATATTTGAAGTCTTTTATACAGATGTGCTTTTAACTACTGTGGTACATTCATGACCAGAGATGTTTAAATATATAAAGTAAAAAAAGTATAATTTTTGTATTTTCCTTTCTGCTAAAATACAAATACACAAGGACATGTTGCAAATAACAGACAACTGATAGATCAAGTAAGTTCATTATTAAAAATTATTTTTAAAATGTACTCAAAATAAAAAATTTATAATTAATTCATTGTTAGACTGAAGTATTGTTTTGTATAGATTTTTATATGATTTTGTATATATAATTATACTTTAATAACTTTTAATTATAATGTAATAACTTTAATATCACCCTTCAGGAGACATTTGTTTGTAATTGGATTCAGACACAAGTATATCCATTTCTTTGGCAACATTGCTCTAACAGTCTTATTGATTCTAGTACATGCATAGGCCTTGTAAACAGACGTAGTTCCTTAAAGGAATTGTCCACCTAAAAATTTGAATTGTCATAATTTACTCAACCTCATGTCGTTACACACCTGTATGACTTACTTTCGTCTGTGGAACATAAAATAAGATTAAAGTCATACAGGTTTGGAATAATATGAAGATAAGTAAATGACATGACAATTTAAATTTGTGTGTGAAATATCCCTTTAACATATCCCTAAAAAAGCAGTAAACCACCTCCCTTTTTAAACTGTGATTAACTTTACACCATAAAATGTATACACATTCACAGAGTTCACATTATGAAACATTACAGGAGGGTCAGAGACAGTTTAATCTGATTAACATACTGTAAATATATACACACAGCCTCTTTCACACACACATTCATAAACCGTGCACATAATTTCAGGGCATTAATTGTAGGGTAATCTGTGTTATAGACAAACACGTAAGCAACATTTCACTGATACAGTATATTTCGAAAATTGCGACGTTATACCCAGAATCCCTTACTTTACAATTGTAACTGTTAGTTTAGAGTTTCGCAGTATCTAAAACACTGCGTATATTTGTTCTCAGCGCTCCCTCATCATAATGCCTGTAAATCACACCTTCCCTTTTAACAATACATTTTGTAGTTCAACCACATCTGATTGCTATCTCTCACTGAGGACCAAAATAAACTACCTTTTTTTTTTTTTTGAGGTCTGATGTGACACTAAATTTATAGTGACACCATTGCAAACTTGCCATGAACTCAGATAAGAATTCATTTAAATGGCAGACTCCAGATAACTTCACTACCATATGGCCTTGTTCCATCAGGATGAGATTTAGTCACAGTGATTAGAAGAAAAATCCCTTTTCCTGAGGTAAGAGAATAAGCTCAGTCAAATACTAAAAAACACAGATGTGAATGTTGTCATAATTGTCAAATGTTTTGTGATGTTAAGCAGTTTTCTTTCTGATGGGGACTTGTAGATCGAGAGGCCTTTTTCTAATTTCATTGGATGAGGTTTGGTAGTTGGACTGGTCCCATAATGAGCTAGATTGTGAATAGACATGATGTAACAAAATTGGCACAATTGTGATTCATTTCCTGGCATATTATTTCACTCCAGCCAATCAAAGCAGAGCAGAATATCTCAGTGACCAACAGGAATTAGAGTTCACAATAGAAACTGGTAGTGGTTATCAGTTATTGCCGTGACGATCGTTCCTGATGCTCCGAGAGCCACTGGCGGCAGATATCGTGCATGACAGAGTCACCTGAGCTCTCAGCGGCCCGCATCACATCCTGTACAAATGGAGCCGCCTTCACAAGCTCAAGCTTCACAGCCTGGAGATACGCTGCCCGCAGCTTACTGCACTGAAGATATGCCTTTATCTACAGAGAGAGAGAGAGAAAGAAAAGCATGTGAATGAGAGCAAGAAAGTGTGTGAGAAAAAAAAAAAAGGACTGAGAAAGAGAGAAACCACACCTTGTTTTCTGGACTCTTAGATTCTAGAATCAGGCCCTCTAGTTCTTTAGCCTAAACAAAAGAAAAACAAAAATTTTCAGAAATATACACATTATATAATATATACTATATATAGAGAGAGAGAGATACAGGTGCATCTAAAAAAATTTGAATATCATGGAAAAGTTCTTTATTTTTTGTAATTTCATTTAAAAAAAGCAAACTGTATTATATTCTAGATTCATTTGCACTCAAACGGAAATATTTCATGAGTTTTTTTGTTTGTTTTGTTTTAATTCTGATGGTTACGACTTGCAGCTTAGGAAAACTAAAAATTCAGTATCTCAAAAAATTTTAATATTTTCTCAAAGATCAATCAAAAAAAGATTTATAAAACACAAATATTAAAGATCTCCGAAGTAGGTTTAACTACATACTCAATACTAGGTTGGGGCTGCTTCTGCACGAATTACTGCTTCAATGCGGCGTGGCATGGAGGCGATCAGCCTGTGGCACTGCTGAGGCATTATTGAAGCCAAGGTTGCTTTGATAGCGGCCTCTTGACAATACCCCATATATTCTCTGGGGTTCAGGTCAGGCGAGTTAGCTGGCCAATCAAGAACAGTAATATCATGGTCCGCAACCCACTTAGAAGTAGTTTTGGCACTGTGGGCAGGTGCTATTCTTTTTGCAAAATGAAATCAGCCTCTCCATAAAGCTTGTCAGCAGAAGGAAGCATGAAGTACTCTAAAATCTCCTTGTAGACGGCTACATTGATTTTGGACTTGGACCTTGGACACAGTGGACCTGGACCAACACCAGCCGATGACATGGCACCCCAAATCATCACAGACTGTGGAAACTTCACACTGGACTTTAAGCAGCTTGGATTCTGTGCCTCTCCACTTTTCCTCCAGACTCTGGGACCTTGATTTCCAAATGAAATGCAAAATTTACTTTAATCTGAAAAGAGGACTGTGGTGGACCACTGAGCAACAGTCCAGTTATTTTTCTCCTTAGCCCAGGTGAGATGCTTCTTATGTTGTTTCTGCTTCAGGAGTGGCTTGGTTCTAGGAATGTGACATGGCTGTAGCCCATTTCCTGAAGACGTCTGTGTGTGGTGGGTCTTGATGCGTTGACTCCGGCTTCAGTCCATTCCTTGTGAAGCTCTCTCTAGTTCTTGAATCGGCCTTTCCTGACAACCTTCCCAAGGCTGCAGTCATCCCTGTTGCTTGTGCACTTTTTCCTTCCGTCAACTTTTTATGAATATATTTCGATACAGCACTCTGTGAACAGCCAGCCCTTTCAGCGATGACCTTCTGTGGCTTACCCTCCTTGTGGAGGGTGTCGATTATTGTCTTCTGGACAACTGTCAATCAGTAGTCTTCCCCATAATTGTGGTTACATGTTCTAAACTAGCCCAGGAGATACCCAGTATTTACTCAAAATTAATCAAACTAATCAAGCTCAAAATGGAATATTCTAATTTTTTGAGATACTGAATTTTACATTTTCCTAAGCTGTAAGTCGTAACCAGTTACAACAAAAAAAACTCTTGAAATATAGTTTGTTTGCAATGAATCTAGAATAAGAAAGTTTGCTTTTCAAAATTAAATTACAAAAATAAAGAACTTTTCCCTGATATTCTTATTTTTTTCAATGCGCGCGCACACACACACACACACACACACATATATATATATAATACAAATGCAGCAATGCAGATCCACAAATATTGTTAGGTTGGGAACTCACATCAGCTGGACTCTTATCAGCTATTGAGACACAGCTGAGCACAATAGCGTCACAGTCATGTTTAGAGGCTGTCCCAGACTCCCCTACACACTTCAGGAGCTGCCGCACAGATGAGTACTGACGCTGCCGGACAAGGCGCTGTCCGACCCGTATGTACACCGCCAGTGCCTCCAGCTGGAAGTCCTGCATCACATTAAAGATCAAGAGAATCAGAGTCAGATGTGAACAAGACAAAGATTCAGTCTGTAACCACTGTGTCGTAAGTGCTTACCTGTATTACTCGATATGCAATGCCAAAACCTTCCTCGATGTTCTTGCCTCCCAGCATCACCTATGCAATATGCAGAGGTTACAGTGTTTGTTAAAGATTTCATCTTTAGTCTCTGTTAGATTTATGCCACAATGCACAGTCAACCTGTTTTTTTGACACTACCATTTAAAAATTTGGGCTCAGTAAGATTTAAAAAAAATATATATATATATAGAATTCATGCTTTAAATTGATCAAAAGTGACAGTAAAGACATTTATATTATGTTACAAAAGATATCGCAAAATACTAAGCAACCTTTTTCAACATTGATAATCATATTACATGTTTCTTGAGCACCAAATTAGCATATTGCAATGATTTCTTAAGTATCATGTGACACTGAAGACTGAAGTAATGGCTGCTGAAAATTTTGCCATCACAGGAATAAATTACATTTGAAAATATATTCAAATCAAAAAGTTATTTTACATTGTAATAACATTACTTCACAATATTACTGTTTTTTCTGGATTTTCAATCCAATACACAAGAAACTTCTTTCAAAGAAGTCCCCCTTTGTCAAACCTTTGAATGGTAGTGCACATATTTGGCACAGACCAGATCTTGTTGCATGCATGTAAACAGCAAAAGCATCTGATCTGGGCCACTTTCAAATCTGGTTTATAATCTTATATTACTTTATTATATTAGTACACTGAAAAAATCAAATCTGCATTAGGCCATGCATGTAGTATAATTGCAGTCTTAGAGTACAGCACTTTAAGCATAATGTGCAGTTTGAATGTTATGAAATAGGATTATTTTTATGTTTATAAAACTGCTTCTATTTCAGTATTTTGTAAGGTTAATGCTGTAAACCATATCCATACATATCTCTTTTTCCCACAATATGCATTACTCGTACACACTTAAGTCTTGCGGAATTCAAAATAATTAGCTCACGTAATCAGTGTGAAATCCATTCAGGGAAATACTTACAGTTAAACACTTACAAACATAATATACACACATAACACAGACCAGAAAAGAGCAGAAATGTAATGTCATAAATTTAGGATTGGAAAATAATTTATTCGAATTTATCGAAATATTTCTTACATTTTTTTTTATAGATATGCAGCATGTCCACTCTCCCCTCACTATAATACATTCTATTCTATAAATGCAAGACGTCAAGAACTGTCTCCAATGCAACCTACAAAATTAAGGTGTGGTTACGATTACTATTGTTCACAGGTGAAATCCGGTCCTTTTAACAGAAATCCATCCACACCTTTAGAAACAGAGATATGGAAGGGGATGCAGCAAAAGGACTAGGTTGTGTTTATACAGAAGAGCATGTTTTCTTGGCTCACCTTGCAGGCCACATCCACCTTCATGGGGCTGTTTCCAAACAGAGTGGGTGGGGCACTGTTCCCTGTGAGGGCGGGGCTTACAGCTGTCCTGGATGGTGAGCTGTCACAGCGGTGTAAGAAGCGTGTCACCTCCAGCTGCAGCTCAATTGTGTGCATGTGTCTGCAACATTTATGTTCAATTACCACATTAAAATTGCCCAAAGCCAAAATACTGAGGAACGTAATGGAAACTCTTATCAGTACTGACTATATCATAGTTCAATTCAGTGTATGTTATTATACATAATGCAAATAGTAGTAAATTATATGAACTGCAAGTTGGCATACAGTTTGCATCTGGCTGTTTCTCCCCAATAAATATAATTCTAAAATCAATTTGACTAAAAAATTTTAACTTTTTAAAACCTGGAGACATCAGTGGAGCTCATTTTCTTCCTGAAAGAGGAGCTGTGTGATTTCCTGCGGCTCTGTTGTTCCTGCAGGTAAGTTCTCAGGTGCTCTTTGGCTCGGATCAGCCAGCGCTGCTGTTCTCCCAGCTGCAGATATGACTGAGCACCGTGAGAAAAGAAGCGGATACAGGTCATAGCGGCACGAATGTGATCCTACAAAGAGGGGAGAAAATTATAGCAGCATGCTATAGAAAAAGGGAAAATATGTGCATGTGTGTTTTAAGCACCATCATGAACTGCTGGAGTTGGTACAGAGAATGGTAGTGTCCCCTGCGCTGGAGTAACTGACAGGCTGAAAGAAGGTAACGGCCCCAGGTCTCTAGTGTGGGGTCCAGAGTTTCTAACAGACCCTGCAAAGCCCCCAGCCGTCCACGTTCAAGACAGGGCTGAAAGATGCCCTCCAGGAACACATCCTCCGAACACTCCTAGAAACAGACAGAGAAAAAAAAAAGAGACAGAAACTTTATAAATATAAACATACAAGTTCCTCGTATGTTTTATATAACATACCTCTAAAAAAAAAATAAAAAATCAGACCCTGCAAAGCCCCCAGCCGTCCACGTTCAAGACAGGGCTGAAAGATGCCCTCCAGGAACACATCCTCCGAACACTCCTAGAAACAGACAGAGAAAAAAAAAGAGACAGAAACTTTATAAATATAAACATACAAGTTCCTCGTATGTTTTATATAACATACCTCTAAAAAAATAAATAAATAAATAAGATCAAATATACAAAGCAGTTCATAAACTTATTTATAATTTTAGTGTTTTGAAAGAAGTCTCTTATTATGTTCGCCAAGGCTGCATTTATTTTATCAAAAATACAGTAAAATCAGCAATATTGTGAAATATTATTAATAATTACTAATTTCAAATGTTCTATTTTAATATATTTTAAAATGCTATTTATTCCAGTGATGGCAAAGCTGAATCTTCAGAAGCCATTAATCCCATTTTTAGTCTTAAAGACACTTCAGAATTCATTCTAATATGCTGATGTATTATCAATGCTAAAAACAGTCGTGCTCCTTAATATTTTTGTGGATTTTTTCAGTATTTACTGAAGAATAGAAAGTTCAAACAACAGCATTTATTTGAAACAGGCATTTATAAAATGTCTTTACTATCACTTTTGATAGTTAAAAAAATCTACATTTCTTTCTTTCAAACAGTAGTGTAGTTCTAATAATAAAAATGAGATTTAAAGAGCTCTGTAACTTTGCAGAACCTTGTTCTGTATGTGGGTGAGTGCGTCTCTCAGGCAGTCGTGCCGCAGGTAAAAGCTGATGAGGCTTAGGTGTGTGCCGTAAGTGAGCAGGTAAAACAGACACTCCTGATAATAGCTGCACCGCTGAACTCTGCCCTCTGCTCCATCTAGAGGAGCAGAATCAGAGAGAGCCTCCTCCAGCTCACGCAAGGAGGCCAGGATGTCCTCATCCACAGTCTACATAAAAAAAAAAAAACAGACAATGAGTGTGACTTTCCCTGTAAGGAAAGTCTGTGTCTTCTGGGTCTGGGTTTATCATTACCGTGCTCAGAGTGGGTTTGACTGTGGACTCCAGGTGCTGAATGATCTCCTGCAGAAGTCTCACTCCATGGTTTAGCTGGTTCCGATCTACTGGCACTTTCAGACAGCGGGCAAACTTCTCCCTGGCCCCACTCAGATTTCCAGCCTTCAAAGACGCCATACCCCATGCCTGCCAAACTCCGTTAGGGTCTAGTCCACTCTTAGTCGATACCTGAGCATTATAAACAAAAACTGATTGCAAAAAATAGCTGAACCCAAAATCATGACAGGTCACTAGATTTAGAAACCACATTCTCTTTTATTGTATAAAAAAGAGCATCATGTACACTCTGCATAAAATCTCCTTTTGTGCTCAACAGAAGCAAGAAAATCATGAATGTGAGTAAATGATGACATTAAAGTCATCTTTGATTGAACCTTTACTTTAAATCTCACCTCCACAGCTAGCTGGTAGTGCTCTGCCTCTAGCAGCTGGTTGCGCAGACGTGTCACTGCAGTCATTTCCTGAATATCGTCCAGAGATGGAATGTATTTGTAGTTTGCACTGACTAGGATCTTCAACACATCCACCTTACTGATGTAACTGTGGATGGAGAGAGAAGAACTAATTAAAAACAAGTGAAAGATAGATACATTGTTTTTCAAAAGTTTGGTGTCAGTAAGATTTTCTAAAAATAATAATGTATACTTTTATTCAGTAAGGACACATTAAACTGATCAAAACATTAAAATACATTTCTAATGTTACAAACCATTTCTATAATTTCAAATATGTTGTTCATTTAAATGTTCTATTCATTAAAGTATCCTGAAAAAAAGTATTGTGGTTTGCACAAAAATATTAAGCAAGCAACACAATTTTTTTACATGGATAATAATAAGAAATATCTCAAGTGACAAATCAGCATATTAAAATGATTTCTAAAGGATCATGTGACACTGAAGACTGGAGTAATGGCTGCTGAAAATTCAGCTTTACTATCACGGGAAAAAAAAATATTTTAAAATATATTAAAACAGAAAACGGTTCATTTAAATTGTAAAAATATTTCACAATATTACTGTTTTTCCTGGGGTTTTTTTTTGACCAAATAAATACAGCATGTGTAAACATAAGAGACTTTGGAACAACAGAATCAATTTAATTCTGCTCTCACTCACAGTTTATGCTTTTTAAATTAAAACAAAGAAAAAAGATACTACATTCAGATTACACATGTAAAGGTATGCGTTTCTCACCTGTCACAGAGTGCAGGCTCATGGGTGCATTCAGCGTTTACAAACATGAGTTTGGCACTGAACAGCAGCTGACGCATCACATCTGTCAGCAGACGTGCATCCACCTCAGGATTGGTCAGTTTGCGGGAGAGTGAGCGGCAGTGGCCAATCAGCTGTTGCCCGCAGGCTGCGTGATCACTGTGTAGCGTCAGTATAGCGACACACAGGGATGCGCTGGGTGCCTTTAACATAAAGAGAGAAAAACTTCAGGAAATATGAATGAGACAATATAAAATATATCACATTTAAACCAATCACTGTCAAACAAGCAATCCTTCAGCTCCATTGCGAGTAGAAAATCACACCTGCTCATAGTAGAACTCGCTCTTCAGCTGCTGGTTCTCTGCTGGGTTTGGACTCAGGCGGTACTGCTTTCGTGGAACCTCAGGCAGACTGAGAACCCCATTTAGGACTCCATCAACGGATGCAGGGCTGCCAACTACTGAGAAAAGTTTAGTTTACAATCTTGTAATCATCATCTGAGTAAAGGCATCAATATTTTGCCATACAACCAAAACAAAGAGATTTGTAGACCTCATGAGATGATAATGAAAAATAGCTTGTGTGTGAGACGAACCAAACAGAGACAAGTTTACCTTCCCCCTGTTCAGGCTCCTCATCTGAGCTGCAATAAACACAACATGAGAAATCAAGGCACATAACAATCGTAGATTAGGGTGAGAAGCATCAAACTAGATCCTATTCTGATTTCTCTTAATGGTTCTGGTTCCTTAATGGTTCTTTTAGTACTTTTCACTAAAAGAAATACACAGAAATACAAAGAAACAGTAATTTTCACTAAAAGAAATGTTCAAAAGTTTGGGGCCAGTAAGTCTCTTATGTTCACCAAGACTGCTTTCATTTGATCATAAATACAGCAAAAAAATAATAATAAATAATAATAATAATATTAGGAAATATGATTACAATTTAAAATAACTGTTTTCTATTTTAATATATTTTCAAATGAAATGTATTATTGTGATGGCAAAGCTGAATTTTCAGCAGTCATTATGTCTTCAGTGTCACATGATCCTTCAGAAATTATTCTAATATGCTGATCTGCTGCTCAGAAAACATTTTAATAATAAGAAATATCTCAAGTGACAAATCAGCATATTAAAATGATTTCTAAAGGATCATGTGACACTGAAGACTGGAGTAATGGCTGCTGAAAATTCAGCTTTACTATCACGGGAAAAAAAAATATTTTAAAATATATTAAAACAGAAAACGGTTCATTTAAATTGTAAAAATATTTCACAATATTACTGTTTTTCCTGGGGTTCATTTGATCATAAATACAGCAAAAAAATAATAAATAATAATAATAATAATATTAGGAAATATGATTACAATTTAAAATAACTGTTTTCTATTTTAATATATTTTCAAATGAAATGTATTATTGTGATGGCAAAGCTGAATTTTCAGCAGTCATTATGTCTTCAGTGTCACATGATCCTTCAGAAATTATTCTAATATGCTGATCTGCTGCTCAGAAAACATTTCTTATTATTGTCAATTTTTAAAAACTACAGTTTAATATTTTTGTGGAAACTGATTCTTTTTTCAAGATTATTTGATGAACAACTTAATGCATCAATTTAATGCATCCTTGCTGAATAAAACTATTAATTTCTTAAATCTTGCTGACCCCAAACTTTTTTGTAAAAGGAGAAAAAAAAAATGTAATAATGAGATAATTAGGAAATATGATTACAATTTAAAATAACTGTTTTCTATTTTAATATATTTTCAAATGAAATGTATTATTGTGATGGCAAAGCTGAATTTTCAGCAGTCATTATGTCTTCAGTGTCACATGATCCTTCAGAAATTATTCTAATATGCTGATCTGCTGCTCAGAAAACATTTCTTATTATTGTCAATTTTTAAAAACTACAGTTTAATATTTTTGTGGAAACTGATTCTTTTTTCAAGATTATTTGATGAACAACTTAATGCATCAATTTAATGCATCCTTGCTGAATAAAACTATTAATTTCTTAAATCTTGCTGACCCCAAACTTTTTTTGTAAAAGGAGAAAAAAAATGTAATCATGAGATGATTTAGATAATAATAAACATTATAAAACAATTATTGTTTACACAGACAATACAATGGCTTTTCAGTTTGTTCAAATGTGGCACAAATACAATCCAATAATTCACCTTAATCAACTATTATACAGCAATATCAAATGAACAAAATATGTGGAACCATGTTCCATTTGATATACTCTGACAAAATTAGCTGCTGTTCAGTACTTTAAAATCAAACAGCAGGTACAGGAACTAAACTGATTTAAGTTTCATAACATAAGTACATTTTAAGCTGTATGTGTTTGATTCACTAAAACAAATCCGCTCATAAGGGTCATTCATCTGGGAATCATAGTACTCTTGTACAATCGGTTCTTAGTTACCAACCATATTAACAACAAGTTCAATGACACAAAAACCATATGACCACTTGTGCACTTATGAAGTGTGCTTTTAAAAGGTGTTTGTGCATGTGTCTTACTCCATGTGGAAGAAGTTGTAGCACTGGTCACAGACTCTGACAGGCTCTTCAGAGCCCTCTACAACCATCTTCCTGCAGGAGCAGGAATGACACACCAGCCTGCCACAGCGTCTGCAGTGGTGCCGTCTGTTAAACTGACACAGGAGAAGATTTACGTTAAGACTCATTCTTAAAGAGAGGCCTAATAGAGAGCAGAGCAGGAAATCACAGCAGGAGCACATCCCATCACATTAGCTTATTCACAGCCCATTTCACTCATACACTCTGCCTCTCTCACCATGGTGAATCTCTCCCTCTGGCAGACCATACAGATGTGCTGTTTGTGGTCTGGGATCCAGTCCTTGCGGTCAGGGGTTTTTTCTGGAGGGGTGAAAGGTGTGGCCAGCTGCCAGATCCTCTTCCCACTGGGGCGTCTCTCACTGGAGGGTGTATGCATGGGTGTGCTGCCTGAAGAAAGTGTGTGCAAACATGACTTATAAGGTCTTTTTACCTTCAGGGTTGCATGCTAAATAGAGTGTGGCTAAGGAAAAAAAGCATGGTCAGTGAAAGAGGTGTGGCTTATACCTGCTGATGGAGGAGGGGTGTGGCTTGGAGAAGAGGGGCCGCTCTCCTGGGCTGGACACTGCAGAAATGCATCTTGCAGACTAATGACAGAGTCTGAGACAGAAAGAGAGAGGAAGAGAAATAGATTAGTGGAAAGAAGAATTGCAATGTAATGATTTCAAACCTCTAATAACACTAACATTGACAGGAATGTTTGTTTTCAACTAACAATTCAGCTAAAAGACTGATCCACCGTTCCAACTCACCAGAACGTGACCACTCTCTGTTTAACGTTCTCCAAATTCATTCTGGTGATGTTTCAACTCCTGTTTCGTACACATTTTGGTCTGACATGAACAGCTGCAGATATACAGCAGGGTCATCAAATCTGACAAGACAGTTAACAGACTACCGAAATCTATTACCTCTCTCTATTTCACACAAAATGGCTTTAATGCTACCCAAATTCACTCTGGTGATGTCTAACCTTCTCTGTTTTATATGCTAGAAAGCATATACAGCAAATCTGACAGGACAGCATTACAGATTACCAAAACCTGTCATCCCTCTCTATTTCACACAGAGCTGCTTTAACGCTCCTCAAATTCACTCTGGTGATGTCTAATCTTCTCTGTTTCATGCTCTAGAAAGCATTTTGGTCTGATGTGAACAGCTGCAGAAACAGAATGGTGAAAAGTGCTAATTGTTCCTATATTACTGGCACAGTCAAGTCAATACAACAAAATAATTCAGCACCAACTGGACATTTCAGTCACAGTAATGCAGCATCAATACATCATTCAATTTATTCAATCATCATAGGAGATAGCCACGTTTCCACTGCCATTTACAGTAGGTTTACACAAAAGTCAGTTGTACTATCCAGTGATTGTTTTTCAAATCTTTCCATAGACTTACCTTGGCCTCCAGCATTAGACTGAATACAGATTCAGGATTCTTTGTAGACTCCTCCCTCAACTCCTGCCACGCCTCCCATGGCAATGGTGGCTGCAAACTCAGCATCTAAATGACAAAATTATGTCACCAGCCAACTTCTGCAATATGGACATTACAGTTTATATGTGCAAAAACTGGCACGGCTTGTAATCTAAAAACAGAACAGTAATTTCAGCCTCTGTCTATAGCTTATAAAAAACAGACAGAAGATGACATGGTATTGCAGTTTTTTTCTGTTAATACTTACTGGCATGTTTATGCACATTAAAGTGTCTTAACATAAAGATACTCTTTAAATTATGGGAGCACAGTAATACATGAGTAAAAATACAAGCACATAGCAAAACAGAATTCCTTTTGCCAGTCTAACACTGATACAGTAAATAAGTAGAGCATTGCTGTGTCAGACTGACCTGCTGGTACATGTCCAGCTCATGTTTCCTCTGCTGAAGCTGCTCTCGGAGTGGATCCTGGGTGTCCTGGTCACTGAGACAGAATTGCAGCAGCTCTAAACACTCTTGTAAAGGCCAGCGGTCCAAACCCTGCAGAACCACACGTCCACGCAGCTCCCAGTCCCTTACACGAAACAACTGCTCCGCACTGCTGCATTCTTTACAAAGAGACATACACAAAGATATCTGTAAAATATCCTTCTTTATGGTCTTGTCAAGGACTGTCTGAACTTTTTAATTATGATTATTTATGGGACAACTCCCCCCAAAATTTATTTATTTTGTACTTAAGGATTTTTTTATTTATTTACACAACATGCTGTCAAATACTTCAACTGAATAAATGAAATCAATTGATTAAAATTAATTCTCTGTCTGACAACAAATACAAAAGATGCTGTAAATAATACACGATACCAATATAACCCTGTTTTAAATAACTGGCTAGGGCATATTTGAAATTATACATCTCTTTACTGTCTATTGTAACACTAAATGAATAATTACTGTTTCAAGTTTGAGAAGAGTACATTTTTTTCCCAATCAAGAACACTTCATAGTAGCTACACATTAAAAGTCAGCATGAAATAGAAATTTGCTTGGGTGAAATTTATTCTCTAATCTTTTAGTTTGCTTAAACCCCACTCCTTGAAGTGCCACATCCATATCGTAACAGAATAGAATACAGATTAAGGGGGCATTTTTTGCCCTAAAATGTAACGCATCCAAGATATGTAATTTTTTACTTTTTTTTTTTTGGACTCCAAGATATGCATCTTTTGTCACTTTATGGCACTTTTGATGGTAATTCTGGTAAATCCAAGAAGCTAGGGCATATTTGAAATTATACATCTCTTTACTGTCTATTGTAACACTAAATGAATAATTACTGTTTCAAGTTTGAGAAGAGTAAATTTTTTTCCCAATCAAGAACACTTCATAGTAGCTACACATTAAAAGTCAGCATGAAATAGAAATTTGCTTGGGTGAAATTTATTCTCTAATCTTTTAGTTTGCTTAAACCCCACTCCTTGAAGTGCCACGTCCATATCGTAACAGAATAGAATACAGATTAAGGGGGCATTTTTTGCCCTAAAATGTAACGCATCCAAGATATGTAATTTTTTACTTATTTTTTTTTTGACTCCAAGATATGCATCTTTTGTCACTTTATGGCACTTTTGATGGTAATTCTGGTAAATCCAAGAGTAAAAACTGTACCAGACACTGTGTCACCCAGGTAAATCTTACCTTGCAGGGCAGTGCATGCCAGCAGTTTGTCCCGGAGTGCCCCCTCCTGACTGCAGGGTTGTGCATACAGCTCTAGGAGGTCTAGGGCTCTGTTCAGATCACCCATATTTAGGGCTTGCTGAAAAGCCTCAGCAGCAATTGCTTGTCCCACATTGCTCTGCAAGCCAGAAAACAACATTCCCACCACAGGCTTCCCACAGAGAGCTGCCCCAAGACCCTCATCTGCTTCCAACGAGACCCCTAGAACTGGCTCAGCCATGGTCCGTAGGTACATTCTCAGGATAGGGAAGTTTTTAAGCAGGGATTCCCCTTCCTTTGAGATCTGGTCTCCATCCAAAACCACTTCTTTACGTCCAGATCCGCGAAAATAGCCTGACCAGCCAGAGGAGGTTGCTCGGGTCACGCCACCCCGACTGGCACTGAGGCAAGCCAGGGCGGCGACAAGGGGTGAACGGGACTTCAGGAAAGACAGTGCAGATGGAGTGAGGAGAAAAGAAGAAGGAGGGCATGAAGACGGTGAGGGCGGAGAAGTGGAGAGACTGGTGGATGTAGCAGACATGTCCTCCACAGAGACCTCAGACTCAGAACTGGGGTCAGAGGTTGTGGCAGGGTCAGAGATGTCAAGGGAAGGGGCGCACTCCAGAGCATACTGCTGGAGAATTGAGGCAATGCTGGCTGGGCAGAACACCCCACTGTTGAGCCCAGCAATCCTCGGCTGCCCCTGAGAAAAGGTCACAGCCCTAGAATCCCAGAGAGGGAGAGTTTCACAGCAGCGCTGAACTACAACCTGTTGCACACTAAAACGCAGCCGCTCCTGCTGCAGGAGAGACAGAACCCTGCAAAAAGAGACATATATGACTGATATGTACATTTGTAAAATGCAGCACTTTAAGAAAGACAGATCCTTGTTTACCTGTCAGGTGACACCTGTCTGTCAAACAACAGGAGAGAGAGAAGCTGGGTAGGCGACTGAAGCAAAAGTAATAGAGGATTTCCGAGTTTCACTTCCATGGACTGATCTAAGGTCAGACCACAAATATCAGACTCAGAGCTCATAATACTTTAAAGATTCCAGTCAACAGAATTATTGAAATGGCATGTCTACTGTATAGTCTTACCTTCTGACCATAGACTGCGCACCAGTACTGAAGCCAACACATTGACATAATCAAGGAAGTTGCGTATGTAATCTGGCCTGCCAGGGGCGCTGTCAGGCTCAAACGGGCAGAGCTGGTCTAGATACTGTAGGAGTTGTTTCATAGCAGTCCGCACTGGATGGGAATCGAGTTCAGACTGCTTAAGACCAGCCTGTTCAGCCAGCGCCGTCAGGAGAGAGCTCCCTGTCAGACCATCTACTACAGGGGAATAGAAGAAGTCAAAATTAATAACATAAATTACATTTTAAAGGGGTCAGGCCACAGAAAATGGAAAAGCCTTAGAATGAGAGTTGTATTTGATGTAATATGGCGTTATTGCACCAAGAATTTAAAAAGTCCCTCCCCAATCAATCCAAACCATTTAATGAATATAAGATGCAATAACATCTTTCTCAATGAATTATAATTATGACAAGGTTTTAAGAATTGAAATTATGACATCAAAAATAAAATATGAAATGTCATAACTGATTTCTACATTTTATCTCAGTTTTGACTATTAATTTTTTTATTTCATAATTTCAACTTTTTGTAATGATTGACTTTTTATGTTGTGATGACTGTTTATCTCATAATTTTGACTTTGTCAATTTCAACTTTTATGTCAAAACTCCTATCACAATTTCAGCTTTTTTAGTCGTTTTTGTAAAAATTGTCACTTTTTATCTCATAATTTCAACATTTTATGTCATAATGGTTTTGTAAATGGGCTTCCATTAAAATCAGCCAATGAGAATCAACAAAAAAGAATTATATTTATATATATGGTTCAGTCGTAAAAAGACTACTGAACCAAATTTTTAAGTGGATTAAAAATGTGTCCCCTTATCATTTATAAGGCCCCCTTAAATGTCTGTAGACTACAGAGCACAGAATAAAAAATAAAAAAACAATGACAATTTACTTATCACAAATGTTTTAGACAAGAATACATACTGTAAGGTGCTTAACTACAACACTGTGAGCACAAATTTGAACAAATCTAGAAGAAAAAAAAATCGACTAACATCATCATGTTTTGTGCCAAAGAGTTCCAGTGTGTGCTGAAATGAGCACAAAGATAATGCCAAGCTCACTTTGCTAATACCTGAGGTGTTGGTGGCAGAGGTCAGGGTTTGAAGTGTGACCTCTAGGCGCTGATTCAGGTTTAGACGGGAGGCGATACTCTCCTCTGTTAATGTTGAATGACAAGACAGCAGCACTTCCTGGGCACTACAGCCAAAGGGACTGTAGACAGCATTCTCCTCTCCATTACAGTCTAGAGTAGAAATATGTTAAAATAAAGAGGCTATGTAAAGTAAAACAAAAATATAAGTGAGCATGCAACTGTGTGTTTAGTTTTACTTGTTCCTTTGCTGGTGGAGGTTCTATTAAGGACCTTGCTGATTTGTTGCAGTACTGAAGGGAAGCCTCTAATACTGCTGGTGTGAAGAACCTTTGGATCTACTCGCATACCTGCGGTAGGCAAAATAAGTCAGGACTCGGCAATAAAGATGGCCCAAATAAAGTTGCTTGATGCAGGCTCACCTCTGGCCTCCAGAAAGCTGCTGAGTCTTCTTTCGGCAGTCTCGAGCAGCTGCCTTGAAGTTTTCCACAGTGTGCACTGACAGCAGGAGAGGTCAAATGCCGCCATAGCTGCAGGGCTCAACTCTTCCAGCAGTGGTTGCACGAGGTCTGGGGAGTCTGCAGAGTGCTGGGAGAGCCAGTAATTGTCCTCTAGACAGGGTATTGGCCGGCTCGAGGTACTGAGTAAACGTTCGGCCACATCAGAGATAGAATAAAAGGCCATGCCTGAAAAAAGAAAGACAGCAAGTAGGTCTTATATATATATATATATATATATATATCTCAGTAATTTACAAAAATGTGACCCACTTTATTCTTTTATGGGTTAGCCTTAGGTAATCATACCAACCTGTATCATATTTGTTTAATAAAATCCAATACTTTCTTATGAATTTTGGGGTGCTAATTCCAAAAAAAGCACATCACACTCTCTCACAAAATATGTGCATTTCATAGCATTTTTGCCACAAAGACAATTCTGATGTTCCTCTGAGCCAGGTCAGAACTATTTGTTCAATTCTAAGATGGTTTTTACATGTATTTCTGAAGACATGATTTTATGCCAAATCCAGGGTTATTATAGTTAACAAAAACTAAAACTAAAATTAAAACCATTAAAAAAAGATTTCATAATAAAGTAAAACAAACATTAACTGAAATAAAAAATAAAATCCTTATTTTGTGAAGGAAAAAACAAACAAACAAAGAAAATGTATGCAATGTAAACTTTTTATTGACATAATTGAACTCAGCATCATCAAAAAAAATTTTTTTATTTTTTTTATTTTGTTTTCCGGCTGCATTGTGCTATATAAAAAACAATCCAAGTCTATGGCATGTACTCTTTAGATAAATGTGTTTGTGCAATACCTGCGGCTGCTGCGCTCCCAATGCTTTTAAGTGTTAATCTGCTGCTGCTGCCCATTCTAGTCCTGCCTGCTGGAGCAACACCCACTGTGCCCAGACCCTCTGAAGACGAGGATGATGAAGAAAGTGACTGGCTCTCTATCTTCTGCTCCACCTGAGCCAGCTCAGTCAGGACCTCCCGGTACCGGTCCATAAAGACCAGTTCACCCGCACACTCAGAGTTCTCCAAGCTATACATCGCAATCACCTAATAAACACACACAACACAAACACATGCCATTAAAGAAGCCCAAACAGATGAGATCTGGACCAGCATTGGCTAATGATGTCCACACAGAATAAATCAGTGCAGAAAATGCTAAAAATGTTTCCCAGATTCCTTTTAGACCTGCTAATATGCTGTCTGTACCCTTAAATGATAGAAAGGGGTAGTAATATGTCAACATACAGTGACTTCATCATCATTAGAATGACATCATCTCTGGGGTTTTATGGTAAAAAAAAGTGATATATCTCACCTGCTGGGCCTCTATGTAGTTGCCTCTGCGTATACAGGCGATGAGGAGAGACTCAGGTGGGGAGAGCATCGCAGGAATCAGCCAGCTATGGGGTCCACCACATGGACACACTTCACTCCCACGGCACACAGCCCTAACACACACCCCGCCATCTGCAGCACAAGCAATGATCAATATTAGCGTTAAGCCAGGATGTGGGAAGGAAGTTTTAGTAGGTGTGTGAACTGACCTGAGGTGCTGGTGCTGACCTCCCCGTTCTGACGTTCAGATGAGGCGTGACGTTCAGAGCGGTGCCGATGGTTTCTTCTCTTCCTCCGAACACCTGAACTGCTGCTGCCACTGCCCTGGCGTTTCAGAGGAAGTGCCGGACTGGGGAGTGGAGATGGAAAGTACAAGCCATCTATAAACAAACACACACATACATACATTAATGCAGTGTTTTACTGTTCAAAAATTTGGGGTTAGTAAGATTTTTTTGTTTTTGATGCTCAGCAAGGCTGCATTTATTTGATCAAACATACTGTAAATTATATTATTATTATTACTACAATTTAAAATAACTGTTTTCTATTTTAATATCTTTTAGAATGTAATTTATTCCTGCAATGGCAAAGCTGAATTTTCAGCAGCCATTACTGCAGTATTCAGTGTCACATGATCCTTCAGAAAACATTGTAATATGCTGATTGGGTGCTTAAGAAACATTTATTACTATTGAGAGTTGTACTGCTTAATATTTTTGTGGAAGCTGTCATTAATTTAGGATCTTTGATCAATAGAAAAGAACTGAAAAGAAAGAACGGTGTTTATTTGTAATGTTTTTTTAACATTATAAATATCTTTACTGTCCGTTTTGATTAATTTTAATGTATCCTTGCTGAATTAATATTTGTTTTTGAATGGTAGTATATGTATTAAACCCTTGCAACATGAATATCAAAATACTACATCACATTTCTCACCATTCCCATTGCCATGGTTGCTAGTAACAATCTGCAATCTCCACTGGGCTTCTGCCGTGTATTTAGACAATCTCTGTAACCGGGCACTGAATGTTTCCGCTGTAACAGAACATCCTAGACTCTCTGCCAACTCCACATCGGCCGCAAGCGCCCTGCCGCCCTTCTGCCCGACCCCACACACACCCTCCAAGCCCTCCTTCACCAGCCGCAGAATCCCCTCCATTACACTCAAATCCACCAGAAACCCCCGGCACCCTGACGTCAGGTGGCCCAGCTCAGGGTTCATCTGATCAGAATCTCTACTTTGGATCTCTTCTTTCAATTCCTCCATCATTCCACCTTCCTTTTCTGCACTTAAGACACTCTCAGCTGTGCTTATACTTTTAGCACTGTTTGGTTTCATTTTCTCTGTGTTTGTGTCTGTTTGAATTTCTGTGCCCGTACTGATCTGATCTGATTGTGGGCTGAAGTCAGAGTCAGAAAGGAAAAGGAGGGAGAAAATGTTCTCCAAGAGTTCCAAACGGAATAATGCTGGAACAGCTTCCAGGTACAGCTGACATTCTGATAGGTAGTGCTGGAATAGATCAGAGCATCCTGGGAAGAGTAAAGAATGAAAGGTAAATTATGTTATCATATTTATTTAAACTTTGCCATACACATGTACAGGAACACTTTCCCTTGTATAAAGGGTTACCATTCTACAGTGATGGCCAAAATTATTAGAACACTAGTATTTTCACCAGCTAAAAATGGTTTTAAGTCGGTTATTTCTATCTTTTGCTGTAGCGTGTCAGTAGGAAATATCAGTTTACATTTTCAAGCATTCATTTTGCCATTAATTGTAATAATTGTTTTGCACAAGGAGTCTGACAACAGCGAGTGCTCCACACAGAGATCTGATCTCATCATCATCCAGTCTGTCTGGAATGACATGAAGAAACAGAACAAACTGAGACAGACTAATCAAGAAGAACTGTGGCAATGTCTCCAAGATGCTCCAATAAACCTACCAGCAAAGCTACCTGAAAAACTATGCACAAGTGCACCTAGGGCAAAAGCTGCATTAAATGCAAAGGATGGTCACACCAAATGTTGATTTAATTTAGTTAATAGTTAAGTTAATAAGTTAATTGATAAAGAAAATCTATTTATGACTTTATTTTTGACAGCATCCTAATTTTACAGCATTTTACACAAGTGCCTAAACCTTTTAACAGTACTGTAGCTTTGCAGGTAGGTCTCTTGAAGTATCTTGGAGAAGTTGCCGTTATTTCTCTGGATTGAGTCTGTCTCAGTTTGTTCTGTTTCTTCATGTCATTCCAGACAGACTGGATGATGATGAGATCAGATCTCTGTGTGGAACACTGGCTGTTGTCAGACTCCTTGTGCAAACAAAAACCTCACTGGATTATTACAATTAATGCAAAATGGAAATGTAAACTGATATTTCCTACTGACACACTACAGCAAAAGATAGAAATAACTGACTTAAAACCATTTTTAGCTGGTTCTAATCATTTTGGCCACCACTCCATACCATGGTAATTACCAAATTCATGGCATCACTATGGCATTTAGAAAATTATCAAAACCATAAAAAAAACATAACTCCATGGTACGTTTTTGTTACTGTATTAAAAAAAAAAAGTAAAAAAAAAAACGAATACAATACAAATACAAAAAGGAATGATTATATTTTTGCTCGCTTATTGTGACATTTAAATGAAAAGCTAATGTTAAATTCACTCAAAAAGTTTTTAACTGGTTTATTATCAAGATCAGCAGCACTGTCACCTTCGGTTGGCTCCTCCCCTTGGCCCTCCTCTGTCTGCTGCTGATGCAGTGGCTCACAGTCCAGGCAGCCGGTGTGCGTGTGTGCATTCACACAGATGGCGTAAAGAGCATACTTCATGGCACAGAAGCTTCGAAACAGAGTAATATTCCGCTGGACAGAGCTGCTGGGTGAGTCCACTAATGAAGGATCTCCTACAAACGTAGAACAAAGATTTCATGTTTCTGAAGAAGTAGTAGTAGTTTTATTTATATAGTGCCTTTCCATAGCTCAAGGTCACTTTACATAGTGCTAAACAAAACATTTGCACACCCATATACACAATACAAACACATAAGGCCACATATAGCCACATTATCCAAAATACATATTAAAAAGATACGTTTTTAGCTGAGTCTTGAATGTAGACAAAGATGGTATATTACGAAGTGTAAGGGGTAGTGAATTCCATAATTTCGGACCATTAACACTAAATGACCTACCACCTACAGTGGACAGCCGAAAACGAGGAATGGACAAAAGACCAAGCTCAGATGATCCGAGAGACCGGGCAGGAGAATAGGAGTACAGTAGGTCAGACAGATATGGAGGCGCAAGACCATTTAATGCCTTAAACGTTAGAAGTAATATCTTAAAGTGAATACGTGATGCCACAGGTAGCCAGTGAAGATCATGCAGTAGAGGAGTAATGTGAGCAGAACGCCTGGTGGAGGTGAGAACTCTTGCTGCTGAGTTTTGAACATACTGTAACCTTGCAATAAGTTTTTTAGGCAGACCAAGAAATATAGCATTGCAATAATCCAGACGTGATGTGATTAATGCATGAATTAAGATTTCAGCATCAGCTAGAGTTAGAGAAGATCGAAGACGTGCAATATTACGAAGATGGAAAAAAGAGCTTTTAACAACAGAAGAAATATGAGAGGCAAAAGATAGAGATGAGTCAAATAAGACACCAAGATTACAGACAGATGAAGCAGGCTTAACATTTCAAAGGACAGGTCAATCCTTTTGACTGAGGTAGCAGAGCCAATCATCAATATTTCAGTTTTGTTATTATTTAGTTTAAGGAAATTCAAGGACATCCAATGCTTGATACCCCTGATGCATGTAGTAAGTAAGTCAGGCAGTGATGACCTATCAGAGCTGGTGGTTAGGTAAATTTGAATGTCATCAGCATAGCAATGAAATTGAAGTCCATGCATGCGTATGATGTCACCAAGTGGATATATATAAATGATAAACAGAAGTGGACCAAGTCCTGAACCTTGAGGAACATCCTGTAAAACTAGAGCAGTGGTAGATTTATACCCTTGTATGGTGATATAATATTTTCTATTATATATTTTTATAATTTTCAATTTTCCAAGTATGGGTCACCATACTTGGCCACATGTCACGTCACTCACTGATGTAGGAAATGAGACAGGAAAGAGCTGAACCAGTGATACTGATATCAGAAAGGCGAGAGATGAGTATTTCATGGCAGACTGTGTCAAATGCAGAGCTTAGATCAAGAAGAATTCTGCAGATCTATGTGAATTCAAATGTACCCCCTGTGTCTCATACCTGTTCTTTGCAGCAGTTCCAGAACTCTGTGCTCCTCGTATTTGGCGAGGGGTGTCAGGGAGTGCAACACATACAGGGCAGAGTGATGGTTCAGCATGTGTAAGTGATTCAGCAAGGCATCATGGGATATCCCTCTGTACAAGTATGCATACCAATAAATAAACTAACATATACACTACCATTCAAAAGTCTGAGGATAGTATGTTTTTTTGCAAGAAATTAACACTTTTATTTGGCAATGATGCATTCAATTGATCAAAAGTGACAGTAAAAACATTTATATGGTTACAAAATTAAAAATCTTGAACAAATTTATCACATTTTCCAGCACAATCTTTTTTAATATTGATAAGAAAAGTTTCTGTAGCACCAATTCAATGATTTCTGAAGGATCATGCGACAGTGAAGACTGGAGTAATGGCTGTGGAAAATTCAGCTTTGCCATCACAGGAATAAATAATATTAAAACAGAAAACAGTTATTTTAAATTGTAATAATATTTAATAATATTGCTTTTTACTGTTTTTTTATCAAATAAATGCAGCCTTGGTGAGCACAAGACTTCATGGTAGTGTATATGAACAAATGGCTATTAACTCATAAACAGAAATAATTTACATAATTGCCTACTTTTTAACATACATTAGGTTAAATCAAGCTTTTCACAAAAAAGAAAGCATATAACAGTGTTTTAACTCACGGGTTGTTCTGGTCGCACCATTCTAGCACACCAAGTTGAGAGGACAGAGTGCAAGCTAACTCACTCAATACTGAATCATTTGTCTGGGGCTACAGAGAGACAGAAAGAAAGAACTCATTCATTCATTTACATTGACATACTAATGTGGAATTATATATATATATATATATTCAACTAATTAAGGTGTACACCTCATGAGTGTTGCATAAGCAAACATGGCACATTTTAGAAATACTCAAGTCAAGATCACACCTTAGCTGGAGGGGATTTTTTGAAGTAAATGTTTTTTTTATGTAAATATGGACTTCAAAAATTAAGACTGTTCACACTGAACATTAACTGTACTGAGCATGTGTGGCCCCTATTAGACAACACAAAACTTTCTTGTAACATTAGGTTTATTATATAAAACCTTTCAGGAATTTAAAGTTTTTAAAGGCTATTATTTAAAAACACAAAATCTACTTAAAATTGCCATTTCCAGACTATCTATTCATGGTGATTTTTTGACAACGTTATGTTTACAAAGTACTGGGCTGCTACAACAAATGCTTTGTTGGTGTTTATTGTATAGCTGGTTATAGGACAACATTACTGTGTAACTATAACCAATCTATTATTGTTCTATATCAAACCCTAAGCACCTAAACTGCAAAAAAAAAAATCTGTCTTGGTGGGTCATTCTTGAACCAGAATAAGCTGCAGAGGGGATGTGACTTTGTACTGACAGTCATATATTTGACTACTGACCTGTTGGTTATGTAGGACGCTTAAAAGGGTTTTGGCAGAATCCAGGCTTTGACAATGCATCCAGCCCAATAACAACAAGAGGCGGGACAAAGGCTGAAACTCAGCCTGCAATAGTGTTTCCAGTTTGGCAAACTCTTCCCGCTTTATGAGATCTAAACCAGTAAGCTGCAAACAACAAGAATGTATCACTGCAATTCTAAAACTAGAGTGGAAAAATTGTGTTGCTTTCATCTATACACTTTTATAAATGTTGTTTTTAAATGAATGAAACTTGATTAACTTGTAAAAGACTAACTTTAAGACAGTGCAGAAAAATACTGACAAATTCGATTTTACACATTCACTTATCTCTAGGCCTCTGTTTGCCTGATTGTGTGCACCTACCAAGACCTGCTCCAGAAAGTGCTTTCCAGTGCTCAAACACTCAAAGTAAATGGCTTTCCACACCAAACGCTTGTCACTATGACAGCACAAGCCAAGCATGACCCTTTCCAGATCAGGCAAGTCCACTAAAAGGAAATAGAGATGAGTTTTTGACAAGCAACAACTAGGCCTGTCGCAATAATCAATATATCGACTTATCGCGCAATATATGTACATGACCTCAATAATTATTGCGTCAAAATTATATATACATACACATATCAGACACAAAAACAAAAAGACTATCTACAAAAATTGGATAATGGACAGCTTTCAAATGGAGACAAAGAACACTTTTCTTGTGAATGTCATCTACTATATCTAATAGATTCAACTAATTAAGGTGTACACCTCATGAGTGTTGCATAAGCAAACATGGCACATTTTAGAAATACTCAAGTCAAGATCACACCTTAGCTGGAGGGGATTTTTTGAAGTAAATGTTTTTTTATGTAAATATGGATAGCTGGAGGGGATTTTTTGAAGTAAATGTTTTTTTTATGTAAATATGGACTTCAAAAATTAAGACTGTTCACACTGAACATTAACTGTACTGAGCATGTGTGGCCCCTATTAGACAACACAAAACTTTCTTGTAACATTAGGTTTATTATATAAAACCTTTCAGGAATTTAAAGTTTTTAAAGGCTATTATTTAAAAACACAAAATCTACTTAAAATTGCCATTTCCAGACTATCTATTCATGGTGATTTTTTGACAACGTTATGTTTACAAAGTACTGGGCTGCTACAATGAATGCTTTGTTGGTGTTTATTGTATAGCTGGTTATAGGACAACATTACTGTGTAACTATAACCAATCTATTATTGTTCTATATCAAACCCTAAGCACCTAAACTGCAAAAAAAAAAATCTGTCTTGGTGGGTCATTCTTGAACCAGAATAAGCTGCAGAGGGGATGTGACTTTGTACTGACAGTCATATATTTGACTACTGACCTGTTGGTTATGTAGGACGCTTAAAAGGGTTTTGGCAGAATCCAGGCTTTGACAATGCATCCAGCCCAATAACAACAAGAGGCGGGACAAAGGCTGAAACTCAGCCTGCAATAGTGTTTCCAGTTTGGCAAACTCTTCCCGCTTTATGAGATCTAAACCAGTAAGCTGCAAACAACAAGAATGTATCACTGCAATTCTAAAACTAGAGTGGAAAAATTGTGTTGCTTTCATCTATACACTTTTATAAATGTTGTTTTTAAATGAATGAAACTTGATTAACTTGTAAAAGACTAACTTTAAGACAGTGCAGAAAAATACTGACAAATTCGATTTTACACATTCACTTATCTCTAGGCCTCTGTTTGCCTGATTGTGTGCACCTACCAAGACCTGCTCCAGAAAGTGCTTTCCAGTGCTCAAACACTCAAAGTAAATGGCTTTCCACACCAAACGCTTGTCACTATGACAGCACAAGCCAAGCATGACCCTTTCCAGATCAGGCAAGTCCACTAAAAGGAAATAGAGATGAGTTTTTGACAAGCAACAACTAGGCCTGTCGCAATAATCAATATATCGACTTATCGCGCAATATATGTACATGACCTCAATAATTATTGTACTTAAAAATGTATGTCACCGTGATTTGTACATTCCACTTGCACCCGTGTCTTTTGCAGCTTCTCGTACATAACGTGGTCATGAGGTGCTAGTTCAAATTTAAAAAATGCTTCTACAAACAAAGTTGCATCTGAAGATATGGTATTGTTTAGGGATCTGTGCCTTTGTGCATACGGACATCTGACTGCCAAGTAGTGATTGTGTTTTTCAGCAATAGTGTACACCCTTAATTTACAGAGAAAAGAAGGTCAAGGAAAAATCTGTTTAATCTGCAGATATGTTCTTGTTTAGGGATCTGTGCCTTTGTGCATACGGACATCTGACTGCCAAGTAGTGATTGTGTTTTTCAGCAATAGTGTGCACCCTTAGTTTACAGAGAAAAGAAGGTCAAGGAAAAATCTGTAGATGGAAAAATCTCCATACAAGTTCTTTATGCATTTTTCCTACTTGTTACTTCGCACTTTTTGTTAGAAAATGTTTATTTATTCAGGTATCTAATATTTTGATACTTAATTTCCATGATCTAAATATTCTTTAGTGTAGGCCTTCTTGCATTACTATGCTGTTACATTATGATTATATATTCAGTGGCATAAAATGGTCTTTAAAATGACAATAATATCGCTTATCGCAATTATTTCTGTGGCAATATATCGCACAACAAAAAGTTGTTATCGTGACAGTCCTAGCAACAAAACAATGATGTCTGTTTCAAAAAAAGATCACATGCAAATGGTGTGACAACTGAACATGGTTTGGGAGGGAACAACAACCACATGAGCAGAAGTGTGAAAAGTCAAAGTAAAGGAGGTGGCACACACACCAGTAACAACCTCCTTCTCTTCCTTAAAACACAACACATACATTGGAATCAATACCACTATTTATGGTGGCTTAGATTTGCCTTTTAAGACTTTAAATTACAGTTGACCTACAGTTGCTCTAGTTTTAGTTTCCAGATACAATACCATTAAGACATTTATAATGTCACAAAAAATGTATTCCAAATAAATGCTGTTCTTCTGAACTATCTACTCAAAGAATCCTGAAAACATTTATCATGGTTTCCAAAAAAAATATTACATTGTACATTGATCCTTAACAAAACAGACAAATCTATTATTACTAGAGTTTCAATTTCAGCATTTTTCTAGAAGATTCATAGAAAGAAATGACAGATTATCACAGAAATAAAATGTGATTCTGCACCTGGTTGTCTGTATGATCACAGTCAACTTAATTGACTCACCCTGTGTATGTGGAGCCTCTCTCAGCAGTTTCTCTTTGAGCAGCCTGAGTGCTGTGGAGCTGTACGACGTCAACAGAGCCTGAGCCTGACCCTGACCCTGACCCTGACCCTGCGGCCTCAGCAGACATCCCAGAATTCTCTCCTCTGTCATGGGCCCTTCTCTAGCTGACCACAAACCCTTCCACAGGGTCTCTAGCTGAGCATTTGACCTCTCTGGCCCCCATGGTGCTAAGGCCAGCGCTGAACACACCTCTTCCACCCATTTCTCATTCCTCTCTTCCACAGGCACGTTCACTCGCTCAGTGAGGTGCTGGATAAAGACATCCTGTAAGGTGTGGTCTCTGGAGTGGCCTGAGTGCTGAAGGAAGCTGATGAGAGAGTGGCAGAGCTGCGGCTGCTGGCGGATTAAAAGAGAACGGAGGCAGGATAGAACAGCAGCGCTCAGTGGAGTGGTGCAATCACCTGGAATGTTTCCCTTTACTTCCTGAGAGTACAGGAAGGCTTCATGCAGCTCCTATAGAAGACATAGAGCAAAGTAAAGACAGCATGAAACACAAATTGTGATCATTGTTTCTTCTTTATTGTGACGTATATGAGTGAAATGACTTCTCAAATGTGAAAAAAATGTAAGATGACACTTGATTTTGTAGAATTGATTGGATTGCTGTCATTTGTTAATTGCTGTGATTGTTTACAGAGAAAATATGTTGTTGTAAGGGGAGGCACATTAATGTTTTTGTATTAAATATTGTATTATTATGTATTAATATTATTAGAGCACATTTTGCACATTTGAAAAAAACAAAAATGATGTAATTTAAAATGAATATAATTTGAAATAAACATGTCTTTTAGTTATAGTGTATAAATCTTTCAGGACACACACATCATGTCTACAGAGGCCGTCAAAGAGATTATATACATCTCAGTAAAATAAATAATTGAAATTTCAAGGGCAAAATCATTTCAATAGGATTCCATGGAATTTGGATTTTAGCTTAAGGCAAAAGGTTTTGCAAATCTTGGTTGAACGGACTTGCCACACTGACCAACAGAAAACTGCTTGGTTTGAGATTGACTCCTGTGTAAGTCACACTTCATACATCACTTTCACTAATGACAATAGACCTGTTTTAGACCTCTGGAAACAGTCACTTAAAAAGTGTCTATTGCAAAATTAAGATTTTTTAACATGGAAAAGGGATGCAATATTTGTCAGAATGGAAAAAAAGTGCAAAAATAAAATGTTGTTATACTGTATGTCTTGCTCAACTGTGCACAACATCAACTAATAGAGTCAACTTATCAGAGCTCAAAGCAAAGGAAATAATCTGAGGTTTGTCAATAAAAGGCCATAAAGTTGTTACAACAGTGTCAGCACTATCTTACTTTATATGCTACACACTTGGAATCAACATACAGTAGTTGGAATTTGTCATACCTTAAGCACAGACAGTGGCACATCTCCAAGTTCCTCGAGAAGCAACATGAACTCCAGTTCTCTCTTCACAGACCCGCTCACCTGCAGAAAAGGTAACCATAATCTGGCTCAGAAAATGAGTTACCCATAACAGTGATGAATGCTTCCTACTTGAAGCATCCATTAAAAATGATATCCAGCAGAAAACGCACACCTTTATTTTAGTCTGTGTTTCCAGAATCTGAAGCCAATACCAGGCCAGTCTGTGAGGGCTGCCCACTGTTTCCCATCTAGGTATAAACAAAAGAAAAACTGATGTGTTTCCTAAAATATCTTAACTTTAGCCTCTTGAACCCTCAACATAACGAAATGTTAAGAACCTCTTATAATGGTAACCACAGTTTCAACCAAAAGTTTACTATAACTATTGTAACCACTATCCACAGAAAGAGGAAAATGGATTTGATTACATTATTGTTCTCGGTATTGGTTCGTTTGTGACTTTAATAAGCATTCCTGTAGTCACCTGAGGGGGTATGGGTGGGTAACGATGGCTTTAACGATATTGTGTGGGCCATGGGGATCATCTCCGCTCGCATCGCCGAGCTGACCCACGCAGGCTGCCGCGAGCTCCCACTCACCGCGCGTCAAACACCGCGTGAAGAAGCCGAAGAGCTCGCGTCTGGAGGTCTCTTCTTCACGGCCAAACGGATGCATGATAGATAGTCCGCTTTGATTCAGCAGTCTGTTGAGGTCCACGGAAAGATTACTGGCCTCAGATGTGCTATGAAGTATTCCACATCTACAGTAGATAGGAGGGGATGGAAACTGAAAGAAAAAAATCATAAGCAGTTTTGTAACCATCTCATAAATTACATATCAAATCAAATTCAGAATATGCACACATTTTTATAAAGGTCCAGAAAAGCATTTACTTAAAAAAATAATAATGATAAGATATAATAATAATAATAATAATAATAAATCCAAAGTCAACAAAAATGTACAGACTTCAAGTGAGAAGATCAGTTAGGTTAAAAACTATTCTAAAGCAGAAAAAGTTACAGAATTGATGTCAGCATTTCTTGGAGTTAGGCTGTTGACGACTTCTATAACGTATTTACATTGCGATTAGTGTGATTTAAAGTTTGGTTTATGTAACAGCTCTTAAAAGTGAAATGATGACATCAAAACAACAGACACTGCCCACTTAAAATAGTTTGGAAGAGAGCCAATTTACTTCACTGTCAAACGTGAGTACATCGTTTTACGCTCACGTACAAGAATAAATAAATGATTAAATTAGCACTCACGATTTGAGTTTGTCCTTTATATCTCAGACTAGAGAACAGCGCGTTCTAACGCGCTTGCCATCAGCTGTGTGTGGCCATGAGAGAGCCGAGTCATGTGACTCAATCAGCTGATCCCGGAGCTGTCAGTTCAAGGGTCAAAACAATAGATATGAAAGAGGGGGTAGGAATGGCAAATGCAATGAAACGGTTGATCACAATAGGCTGGACTTCTAATTAAATAACAATACTTCTTTTTGGTGACAATTAAATTGCTAGTCATTATTTAGATGGAAATAACTTTACCGCGATTGCTGATGTAGTCAAATGATTCCTGATACTTTTCTCAGCGCTGGATAGATGAGCCAATCACAGTCGTTTGTGATAAAGGATTAAAAAAAACGTTTTATTGACATTTCTTTAGTTGATTTCAGTTTAAATCTAGGTACTAATCATTTGAATTGACAGATGAAATAATTACATTTTATTATGTTCAAAAGTAATCAATACGATTTAAAGAAACGCCTTCAAACGCTGCACCTCTCTGCTCGACTATAATAAGCGACCCCTGGCGGAAGACAATTAGGTTATTTTTCGTGCACTATTTGTCTCCCAGAGCTCCAAATAAACCACTTCTCCCGCAGTATTATATCTGCAGTTAAACTTTTTGGTGGATGATTGTTGTGACTTAAAATTTTTGGATTTATTGTGAAAATGTTTTTGATAGTTAGGCTTTACGCAGATGTAAAGTGTCATTAAACAGTTATTCTGTCATTTTATTTAATTTAAACAACGAATGTCTTAACAGTCAGTGAATATCGTCTTGAAGGTCCTTAAATCGTAAATATTTTCTTGTTTCCGTTGCTGCGCTCTAATACACATTATTTGGGTTGATGCCACAATTGTTCGTATTTAGCAAGATTAAATTATTTGAATTTGTACTGAGAAATGTAAATTGTAACGACAGCCAGAATTAAAAATGCTGACATGCTGTTAAACCTCGAGAATGACACTAGGAAACCTGGTCAGTCATTTGGAGTTTATAAGCCTTGGAAACTCTCTCTGGGTGGTAAAAACATATTGCAGAAACAAAGAGCCGGACTGGTTAGATGGGAACGTGAAACAATACACCTGTTGGGACTAGGGAGCTAATTATGTCTCCTCAGTGTGTTGTCCATGTTTGTGATTCCACCATTATATGAGCTTATTCCCAAGTGAATTAGGGTTAATCTTGGTATAACTTGCGCCTTTAGTGTAAAATAATACGCATAGTTATTAAACTTATTCAAATAAAGACTTCAAAACTTACCTGTTTTTTGCGTAATTGGTAAGCTAGTGTATTTCTGGAATCACGAGGCTTGGTATATGTTATCATAACGAGCAGAGATTCGTTCATTCATTTATTTTGATATGTGCTGGAGTCACTACTGTATTTTTGTCATCACTCTGCCTGTGACAGTTACTATGGCAACGCAGTGGCGAGAGGCGGGGTTCGCGGATTCGACGCTGGTCTCGCGAGTCGCGCACTGCGATGATCAATTCCGTGCGTTACAGCTATTGTCCTCGCGCTTGAAACGCAACACCCGCACGACTAAACTAAAGCCTTTCGCGACAGAGGAAAGCATGACAGATAAGGGGAACATCCGAAACGTAAGTATAATGACGATGATTTTAGAGTTTGATAGATTGATAGATTGTGCTGACACAGTGATGTACTCACTGGACTGGTATATATGACTGATAAATGTGTCATATATCCTATATTTGAGACTGCTACATTTATAAAGGATACGACTCGGTCATTTGCATATTAACATATAATTTGGATATTAAAATAAAATGTAAACTGTGAAAAGGATGTCTCGGAGCGATTAAGATATCGTAATGATTTTAAATCAGTACATTCATAAATATGAGTATTTTCCCTGACTATAGCATTAGACATTTGAATGACAGTAAAGCACTATTCCTGCAGGAGGAGGACTATGTTGGGGAGATCAAAGGGGGTCTACGGCCGACCATGAGGCTGGTAGTGATGGGTATTGTTCACAAGCAGCCCAAAAGGTTCGTATCAGACACCTGTCTGTGCGTTCGCCAGCACTTGCGTTCATTTGTCAAATGTCACATCCGCACATCCTGAATGACTCGGTTCATTGAGGATGAGACGCGCCTTCACTGCGGTAACACAATGAGCCAGTTGTATCGGGGATTAAACCGTTTTAACGTCTCCAGTTCACACAGGAGCAAAATAAAACATGGGTGCCAACAGACAACACTAGACATAGAACTCATTTTAAATGCATGTGGGAAACACCCATTTAACTGCAATACCACGTATGTGTATCTATGTGTGTGTATACAATATGTATTTTTGTGTAAATATATTTATATTGTGTAGCTTATTAGTTTATACATACACTATATAGACAAAAGTATTGGGACACCCCCTTCTTTAGAACAGAAAAAGGCACTTCCAAAACTGTGGCAACAAAGATGGAAACATAATTCATGTATTTAAAATTGTATTTCCATCACTGTTGCAACAGTTTTGGAAGTGTCTAAAATGACTGTACCCATATGTACAAGTCATTGGTGTTTGGTGATGAGTTTTTGGCTCAAGTTCTGCATTTTAAAGTCACACCAGAGGTGTTCGGCTGGAATTGGGACTTGCAGACCAGTCAAGTTCTTCCACAATAATCAATCATTTCTTTTTGAACCTTGTCTTATACACAGAGGCATTGTCATGTTAGAATAGAAAAGGGTCTTGTCCAAACTGTTGCTAAAAAATAATAAGCACACAATTCCCTAGAATATCATTATATGCTTTAACATTAAGATTTGTACTCATGGAAATGACTAAGTCAAACTTGTTTATTAGATGGGGGTGTCCCAATACTTTTGTCTATTGTGTGTAGTACTATACAATGTAGCCACATGCACGAAAAAAAAGTGCTAACTGATCTTATTTTATTCAAGTCAAAAATATTATTTAACATCTCTGAAACAACCTGTATACAGGAATGTATACCAACAAATCTAACACTTTTTACAGTGTATAACAAAAATAAGAAGTAACTACGTTTTTTAAATAAAATTAAACAAGCGTGATGTTTGAGCAGGGAATTTTGACAGGGAATACAACTTTTCTCCACAAATTAAGGACATTTATTCTTTTTACTTCTAAAAACATACTGTAAAATTGTATTGTAACTTAAAGTTTATATATATATATATATAAAAATTTAAGGGGGTCTGAATACTTTCCGTAGCCACTGTATATTTAGTTTTTTTTACGGTAACATTTTAACATTTGTTTTCAATTAAAATGACTAACATTTTTTACAGTGCAATACATTTGGTTTTTCAGTTGTTGTTGTCCACTTCTGTTTTGCCAGTGTGGGAAAAAAGTCAATTCCCATGAAGGATTAGCCAGCCTGATCTTTGGGGAAAAAAAGAAGGGAAAAAAAACAGATTGGACAATTCTGGCCATATTTGGTAACTAAGGGTTACCCAGAAACTGCTGGTTCATAATGTGATTTGATCTGGAGCGTCTCAGATTTCAGAATTGACACAGTCTGTTAAAATGATGCTTGTTTTTAAACTGATGTTAAAAAAAAATGTCTGTCTCTTTAGTATGGTAGTGTTAGTGGCATGCCCGTCTAAAGGAGAGGGGGATGAGGAAATCGAGGGTGATGTGGGTCTGGAGTTGAAAGTGAACTTTTCAGAAAAGGCTGTGCTTCGTAACGCTCGTCTGTCCGGAAAGTGGGGCGCTTTAGAAACTGCCCTGTCTTTCTTCCCCTTTGCTCCTGGAGAGCCCTTTAAGGTAAACAGTCAGAATGTGCGTTTGGAGGTTGTGATCACACCTAATAAAGCTTAAAGGAAAACAGTTGAGTTTTACAGTTTTCGAATCCATTCAGCCGATCTCCGGGTCTGGCGGTAGCACTTTTAGCTGCAGCTTAGCATAGATCATTGAATCTGATTAGACCGTTAGCATCTCGCTCAAAAATGACCAAAGAGTTTCGATATTTTAATGAGAGTATAGTTCCTAGCCATATCGGCCTAGAAAATCGCAACTTTTCATTTTCCGTCGGTTCTTAGTACACAATGTAACTACAGATGAGTCAAGTTTTAAATAGGAAAAATATCGAAACTCTTTGGTCATTTTTGAGCTAGATGCTAATTGTCTAATCAGATTCAATTATCTATGCAAAGCTGCAGCTAAAAGTGCTACCGCCAGACCCGGAGATCGGCTGAATGGATTCGAAAACGGTAAAACTCAACTCTAGTGGAGTTGGAAAATGAGCCTATTTTCAAAAATAGTGGAGTGTTCCTTTAAGTCTTTGGTAATGTCCCATCTTTCTGTCACAATAATGTTGTTTCTATCTTCTGTCTCTTTCAGATGGAGATTGTGTGCGAGCACCAGCAGTTCCGTATTCTGGTGGATGGGCAGCCGTTGTGTGGTTTCACTCACAGACTAACTCAGCTCGCATCTCTCACTGCTCTTAGAGTCCATGGAGACCTACAGCTCACCAAAGTGGCTTGAGCAAGTGAAGAATTGTCTGCCATGATGACATAGACTATTCATAGAAGCAACTTAGCTGAGGTCTTAGAATCCTGAGCGTATTGTACACAATTGTCTTAAAATTCCAGAACTCCCTCAGTTCATTTAAAACATTTAGAACTCAATTCAGTTGGGTCTGTGTTTGTTTTGGTAGGCTAATTTGCCATTTTGTAACGTTTCTCCAGTGATTTTTATTTGTAATGGCAAATGAGGCTGTTCAGTTTAAAATGGTTTTGCGTTTGTTTGGACACATTTGTAGTAGAAAATATCTGAAGGATGATCTGAACCGGCTTAAATCAATCCAGATAACAATTCAAATTAAGAATGATTTTCCATAAACTAGCTCAGATAGATTTCTTTCATATAGTTTTTATAATACATAATGTACTAACTTTTTTGTTTGCTTTTGATTAGATATTTAGTTTCTTTGGCTCTTTGATACAGAAGCAAAAGTGCCTTAATTTGTTCCATTAGATGCACTTATACAGTAGAGAACTTTGGGTGTTTTTGTAGCAGTAATTGTTGTTGTTCAAATTCACTTGC